TCACTCGTAAAAGAAATTGAAACAGCTAAATAATTTTCATTCAAACATTTTTGAATTTATCAGACAAATTTCTTGTTAATTATACTGTGCTTTGCTACCGTTTTAGGTAACATTTGAGATCGAATAAGTTAACCCCATTCTGTAGTACCTTGACGAAGTTGACACACTCGATGACGTTGATATTGACGATGATGTCGAAACAGAACTTGACGTGGACACACTAAGAGCAAAGATCAGTGATTATTTGTGTTATTAATAACATGGTGATATATAATTTGTTCCATGTTGAAAAATTAAGTTTAAAAACGATTCTTCCGTAATGACTACTTTTCAACCTGGATATTTGGCAACTCCAGTAGACATAATTTGGAGGTCAGAAAACTGACTATTAAATCCAAAAGAAACTTCGATTCTTGGATACCTTGACGTAGTTGCTGTTGAGAGACTTGTCGTGGTGGGTGTGGATACGCTTGATGATGTCGATAGCGACGACGATGTCGACAACGAACTTGAAGTTGAGACACTACAAGGAAAAGATATAGTTTGTTAGCTGAAGATACATGTAGATTTAAACTTTAGTTGGATACTTTAAGTCTCATTACCTTGACAAAGTGGACATTGATTATATCGAAATTGTCGACACAGAACGTGAAGAAGAGACTGGTCGACGTTATAGAATTAAAGCGAACGATGTAATTTTTCACTACCTTGACGTTGACACACTGGATGATGTTGATGTACTAAAGGAATTAAAAGTAGAGAAGAGTGATCACTTATAATTAGTATAATTTCTAGAGGTGAATATAAGAATTAAACATCCTGTTTATTCGAAAAGCTCAGCTTATGACGCTATATTCACCGGCCTAGGGGATGAATGAAACATTTCTAAGCTTGGTTACTAAGCTCGCCACATTTGCCATCTTCGCAAGTAAACATGGCGGACAGCTGCTGAAAGAAATTTTCAGTTATTGGACAGAGATCACTCCAATTCCAGGATATTTGAACTGCGGCTGCATTAGCTTTGTGCAAACGAACAATCGCGTCTGTGGTTCCTTAGTTTTAGTTCGTCATTTTGTAGTTCAGTAAATATTCTCAAATGTTCACTCCGCCTTCGGCGAATAATTGTTTTAAAATATGACATAACTGTTAAGATTAAGGAAAATCTACACCGTGAAAAAACTGCAGTTTGCAATATTCTGAAGAAGAGAAGCTAAAAGTTATTTGGAACTACTGATTCTCTAACATCGTTTAACCGCTACAGCAACACCTTTTTAAATGGGTAATAAAACTCTCAAGAAGCCGCATTGTCTATATCACTGAGAATTAATCTGATCACCCACAACAACTCGTAAATTGCTATCACAATTCACCAGTTAAAAACCAGAGCAAGTGGTTTAACTCGTTTAGCAAACATGCATTGTGAAGATGATAGTCCAAAATCTACAGTCTTTACAGTAAGCCAGAAGTCACAAAAAAAATTCCCTTTCAAGAACATCTGGTTTAGGCTGGTAGTCTCATTCTTAGTTTACTAACTAGACAACGCTGATAGAGCCAAATCGGGCTCTTACTTGGTGTAGAAGACACAGTTGACGTAAAACAATAGCGAACAAAAGGTCAAAAGAGCGAGGAAGACAGTAACAAACAATAGATCTGTGAGGCGGTATTCAATTGTGACGTGTCCGGCATGTGGAAGGAACCCAAAATCGAGAATCGCACCGAGACTAATTAGGAAGCAAATTGTTGTCTGCAATTACATTCTTACAGCTACCCCGATAAGGTGTTTAAGAACGAAAGCTTCAAAAGTTAGTATTCATTTGTCATTCTGAGCAAAGTTATAGACCAATAAGCAGACAAAAAGGGTGGTCTTTGTAAGCTCCACTGTCCATAATGATCATAATGACGTTACAAGTTACCAACCTGCTGGTTAAAGTGATAATTATTGATCTCGTCGATGTAATCACAGGAGGGGTAGTGAATCTCGTTGATTGCCGAGTCACTGTCTGGCGTCCTTCACTTGTCGACGATGACGACGATGTTGATAAAGCAGAACTTGATGTTGACAAAATAGAAACAAGAAGAAAGTTCGTTTAATGCAATAAGAGCGTTAGTTATTATTATATTTGGAGAGCGGAAAGGATATTTAATTTCATAAATATCGTATTTTCACGTCCAAATGAACTTCAAACCCGAAAGCTTTCGATTGATCGTCCCCCTTCTGCTAGCCACTAAAAGTTTACCTTACAGCATGGCGTCTCAAAAAACGAGTGCGACTGACATAAAAGGGAATCCCAACCTGGGATTTGTACTTGGGCTTTGAAACTTGCACTCTCATTTGCATATTTTACATATTTTTCAAACTTAATATCTCCGGAACCAACGCAGATATCTGCAAACGGTAAACGGAGTTTTAAATCTTTCGTGGAATTCTTAAACCTAAAACTTCGAGGGGTAAAAATTTGATCAGAGTGCCTCGATTTTACCAAAATGATCGGTAAATCATTGTACCATTTGCTTTTTCACCCTATTCCCATGCTCCTTGAAGAAATACGCACTAGTTTCGCTGGGAGGGATTCAAATGCTGTCATATGGCACACTCTCATCCCGTCTAGTTTTGTTAATCGAAAATTTGTCCTGTTCCATTTAGCGAAAAATTCTCACCGGTTCTCCCACGCGAATAGAAAGCGCTTCTATCAGTGAAGATATCATTATTTTAAATTGTTGAACCTAATCCTGTCAGTAGTTAGAATCCCCCGGGAAAAACTAAAAAGGGCTGTGCTGGTGACTGGGGTTTCAACAATCTGAGCGATAATCATCTTCAGATTCAAGTGAAAAGAGTTCGTCAGGCGTTGTGCTATATAAGTCTTGATCCGTTGAAAGTGATTGTTCAATTGTGACAATGAATCACACAATATATCAGTCTTAGTCCTATTAAGTCGCTCTGCTTGACGTCTTTTTGTCAGTTACGACAAATTAAAATCATCAGAAGAAAAAAATCTGCCTAGGGATAACATGGGAAACTTCAAGTCATAGAAAAAAGCATCGAATGCAATGAAATTCTCATGATAAGCTAAGCTTAAGCTTTAATTAGATACGACAAGCCACTCAATTTGTTATTTTTTACATACAGATATGTATAGACATCATACGTTTTCCTTGTTACCTTGAAGTTGACACACTCGACGACGTTGAAACTGACGTTGTGGACTTAACACTCGACGAGGATATACTAAGTTGAAAAGCAAAAAAAGGGGGTCACTATGACTATCCAAGAAAGTATTTTTTTGACATTCATCAGATTGGTTCATGATAGAACTTGAACCAAGGTATAAAGGAAAATGAATTATCTAGAGGTCTTTAATTTCCTCCTTGCAGAAATTTTTTTTCCAAAGACCGCCCAGGACAGGGAGCGTTGGAGAGACCTCGCGAAGAGGCCCAAGTAAAGTAAGGTTTATTCAGCATTTCGTAAGTTTACATTTTTCACGAAATACTCCTTACAAAGTCAGGTTTTGTAGGCATCTACTGCAGTTGGACGTCAGCAAACCAAATTTCAAGCCATCGTTGTGCATTACCTTGACGAAGTAAACGCACTTCAAGACAGCGATAATGGCGATGTTGCCTAGGCAAAACTTGAAGTGGACAAGAACCGAAATTTTGAAATGCTTAGAAATGCGACTGAACGTCTGCGAAGAGAGGTGTTCACGCACGAAATGGTTTTCAAAGAAGGGTTTGATTAAGAAAACCTACCTTGTACTTATTGATGTGAATGTGGTGGTAGGAACTGTTGTCGAAGTAGAAATTGTTGATTCTGTTGTATACGTGGAGAAAGTTGGACTCGATGTTGATAATGAACTGAAAAATAAAAATACAAAACATGGAAACGCATAAAATGTAATCATAAAACGGAACTACGGCCATTTCCAAAATAGTCGAGAAACTCAGGGTAATCTGCTGACCCACACCACCCCTCCCACTTCTAGTTTTATAGTTCTTGATCCAAGTGGTACTGAGATTAAGGAAATATTTCTAACGGGGAGAGGGAAAGGCATTAGGCATAATTGTCTCACTGTTTTACATCACCACCGTGCTGAAGATTATGGCAACTCTTTCTCATCAGATAAGGAAACAGTTAAAAGAAATCATGGATAGCCCAAAGTATGTTCTAAATAGCATTCGAAGTTATACCGTGATAACAGCATCCGAAATGTCCTTTCGGTAACGATCAGCATGTGTCATTTACGAAGTGAAAGTACCCCAATAAGGCGTTACGCATTCGAAATAGTCGAAAATCTTACAACAATTGGATTTAAAATATAGTTCAAGTGAGTCGTAACATCTAAAAAGAAATAAAATCGTCATACAATTCAAAATCACTAAAACTTTGCAAAAATAGAAAAATTCCTTGAAACACCTTTAAAACGCTATTGAACAGAAACCTAAGGACAAAAGACCAAACAAACTACCTCAATAGTGGATCGCCCAGAATAGCTTTGCCAGCTACGAGATACTAAGGTTTATAATTGAATTATGTAATAATAAAGTTACTGTTATTGTTACTGTTAATGTCATGATCAAGAACTTATAGTTGATTCAAGCAAAAACGGACTTAATTCACCGCGCGCATTCTAAACATTCAAAAAAGCAGACAAATGCAGCTTCGTTTTGCCAGCTTTATTATGATGAGCGTTCCAAATATAAGTAATAACCAATGTCAACTATTAGAAATGGAGTGAGGAAAAGAAAAACTTCTCGCCGGCTCTATCAGCTATGAATTATTCCATACCTAGTTGCTGTTGAAAAACTAGTCGTAGTGGGCGTCGAAACACTCGATGACGTCGATACCGACGACGATGTTGAAATAGAACTTGATGTTGACACGCTAGAAAGGAAACAAAAGAGAATTACTACATCAATAGACATAACACTTTGATTTTTTCACTTGAAAAGAAAATTGATAAATAAAGCAAAATAATTTTCATCAAACATCGTAGAATTAATAATACAAACTACTTGTTGTACGTTGTACTTTGCTACCGTTTAACGAAACATTTCAGATCGAATTAGTTGACCATATTCTGTAGTACCTTGATGAAGTTGACACACTTGATGATGTTGATATTGACGATGATGTCGAAACAGAACTTGATGTTGAGACACTAAAATGAAAGATGGGGGCTTATTATTATCATTCTTATTATTTCAGTGACTTGTGAATCTCTTGAAACAAACACATATGTATTCTTTTAAAATAAACTAAAAATTATCATTACATAATCTCTCCTCTTCAACTTGGCGCTTTGGTAACAACAGTATATTACTTTTACAGGTCNAAACGATCTGACTATTAAATCAAGACATTGCTATAGAAAACTTCGATTCTCTGATACCTTGACGTAGTTGCTGTTGATAGACTAGTCGTGGTTGGTGTCGATACACTTGATGATGTCGATACCGACGACGATGTTGAAATAGAACTTGATGTCGACAAACTACAAACAAAAATAAAGGTCGTTTAATAAAATAAGAGCTTAGATGTTTATTACATTTGGAGATTAGAGAACTATCGGTCTCGTGTAAGTATTTATAAGAAGGGTACACCTGGCTCTCCGCTAATCTGGGTGTATATGGTCTAAAAATCGAGCACACAGCAACAATATCATTCCTTTTGGCTTGAGACTTTAAAGTCTATAATTTTTGGATTTTTAATTACCTGGATGAAGTGGAGACACTCGATGATGTTGATATTGACGATGATGTGGACACAGAACTTGACGTGGACGCACTAGAAAACATGAGAAACGATTACCATCATTGAACAAACGATATAGGGTTTTTCTTACAAGGTGTGAAAATAAACAAGTGCAGGTATTACAGGAAAAGAAACTGTTAAAGATTAATTATGGTTAGTTTTATGGATGAGGAGCAGTCTACAAAGTTAGACTTTATTACCATTGTTTATTGGAATTGGAATTTAAGTAAACTGTATAGCACTGCAATCACATTACGTATTGTTTGACGTTTTGTCTTAAGGTCATTCCTCACATTTGCATTGCGCATCCTTACTGCGCATAATTTATGGCGTCATTAGCGCG